CCTCTGGCCAGTCAAACTCAAATGTCTCCCAGCCTTGTGTGAACTCTGAGAATTGTTCCTCTTATAGCTCCCCGGTAGTTGTTCTTTGCTTACTTTCTGGAGTTTTATCCTAACATGCACAGCCAAATACTCAATGGTAGATTTATGCAGTTCTTTTCTCTGCACAGCTCCCTCCTATCTGATTCTCTAGCCCACCAATTCCAGTCACTTTAGCCTCTCTGAACTCTTATCTATGTATTATCAAATAAGCAAAACCACCACACTCTGCCACAGTTCATCTCCCTGTCCTGTGGTCTCATAATTATCTACATCATAACTAAAAGCAGAAGCACTATTTCATCTTATTAAAATGATCAATGATGGGGGGCCTGCCTGGTGGCATAGTGGTTAAGTTTGCGCCCTCTGCTTCAGCAGCCTGGGGTTCAAGGGTTTGGATCCCAGGTGTGGACCTACGCACCACTTATCAAGCCATACTGTGGCAGGTGTCCCACATATAAAAAAGTAGAGGAAGATGGGCATGCATGTTAGCCCAGGGCCAATCTTCCTCAGCAAAAAAGAGGAGGATCAGCAATAGATGTTAACTCAAGGCTAATCTTCCTCGCCAAAAAAAAAAAAGATCAATGGTGGGTTCCAAATTGCCATGGTAGGATTCCAGTCGTTATGGATCAACTGTAGTAGACTTGCTCTCCTACCATAAATAAATATAAAACTGGATTAGAAATATGAGGTAACTATTTTCAGGCATTGAACAATATGCATTGCACAACTGCGAACCCCACAGCCAACCTCACTTTCAGCCTGGGGACAATTTCCTGATCACAGTGCAGGGAAGTGACTGTAGCCCAAGCAAAACGCAGCAGTCTAGCTGAGTTGAGGAGGCAGAGATAAGAGTTCAAAAAGCAGAGATTGTTAGATTGAGCAAAACACCAAGACCAAACTATACATTGTTTACAATAGACACATTTTAAACATGAAGACAAAATGTCACAAGTAAAGTGAAGGAAAAATATATACCATGCAAATAATAATGATAAGGAAGCTGGTGTGGCTATATTAATATTACAGAAATTAGATTTCAAGACAAAGAGTATTACCAGAATAAATAAGGGATTTCCTAATGATGAAAGAGTAAATAATGATTTTTAAAAAGGGTAGCCTCCAGAATATAGAACAATTTTAAGTTTGAATGTATCTAATAACAAAGCTCTTAGATATATAGAGCAAAATTAATAAACCTAAAGGAAAATATAAACAAATCCATAATCATCATCAGATCAGAGATTTTAACACTACTCTCTCACTAATTGATAGAACAGGTCAATAAAAACTCAATAAAGATAAAAGATTTGAAAAATACTATCAACTAATTTGACATAATTAATATTTAAAGAATACCATACCAAATAACCACAGAATACACAATCTTCTTGAGTACGGAACATTCACCATATGGTGGGCTATAAAACAAATCTCAATAAATTTCAAAGGATAGAAATCATATAGAATATGTTCTCTGAGTACCATACCAGTGTCAAATTAGGATTCAATGAGAAAAAGTAGCTAAAAAATTGCTAAAAACTTGGAAATTAAACAACACACTTCTAACTAACCTATGGGTCAATGAAAAACCCACATGGGAAATTAAAAATTATTTTGAACTGAATAATAATAAAAACACAAGATATCAAAATATATGTGTTGCAGCTAATATAGTACTCACAAGGAAACTTGTAATATTAAATGCCTATCTTAGACAAGAAAAAAGATGTGAAATCAATGATCCAACCTTCCACCTTAAGAAGCTAGAAAGAGTAAATTAAACACAATGTAGAAGAAAAACATGAATGTAAAAGTGAAAATAATTGAAGTTTTTTTAAAAACAGACAAAAAATTGAGAAAATCAAGAAAGCCAGATGATGTTTTTTGAAAGGATTAAAACAATTCACAAAGGCCCAACTAGACTAATAAAAAAGAAGAGTCACAAATGACCAATATCTAAAATGAAATAGGAGATATCACTATATATCCTACAGATATTAAAAGGTAGAACTTAAGGAGAGGATACTATGAATAACTTTATGCAAATAATTTCAACAACATAGACAAAATAGATAAATTCCTCACAAATCACCAAAACTGCATAGGAAGAAACAGAATATCTGAATAACCCTATATCTGTCAAAGAAATTAAATTTGCAATTTGAAAACTTCCTATAAAGAAAACTCAGTCTCACATGGTTTCACTGGTAAATTATATCAATTAAAGAAGAAATAATACACAAATATTTTTGGAAAACAAAGAATGAGAGAAGACTTCCAAAACTCATTTTATAAGTCCATCATAACATCATCAAGGACTTTACAGGAAAAGAAAATTACAGAAAAATATGCTGTATGAACCTAGTTCAAAAATTCTTTATAGAGTATTAGAAAATTGAATTCACCAATATATAAAAAGGGTAATACATCATAACCAAGTAAGTTTAACCACAGGAATTCAGTTTGTTTTAACATTTGAAAATCAAGCAATGTAATTGGCCACATTGACAGATTAAAGGAAAAAAAACTAGATGATTATTTTAATATATGTAGAAAAAGTTTTGGGCAAAATTCAATACTCATTTATCTTTAAAAGTGTCTGGTAAACTAGAAAGATAAGAAAATTTTCTCAAATCAATAAAGGCATCTATAAAAAACTATACCTAACATCATATTTAACAATGAAATACTGAATGATTTCGCCCTAAGTTCAGGAACAAGACAAAGATATTTGCAACCTTGGAGCAGGCAAAGATTTCTTAGAGAGGGCATGGAAAGCATTAACTACAAAAGAAAAGCCTGATAGACAAGACTTCATCAAAATTAAAAACTTCTGCTCAAAAAAAGACAAATATATCGGCAAGCCGTAGACTTAGAGAAAATAGTTGCAATACATGTATTTTTCAAAGAGCTTGTATCCACAATATATAAAAATAACCTCCTAAAACTTGATTTACAAAAAGACAGCTCAATTTTTAAATGGGCAAAGGACTTGAGCAAACATTACACAAAAGAAGATATACAAATGACCAAAAAAAGCACATGAATAAGTACTCAACATAATTTGTCTTTAGGACCACATTAAAAAGATCGCCAACATCAGGTGTTATCAAGAATGTGGACCAACTGGTACTCTTATACATTGCTTGTGGAATTGGAAGATGGTACAAATATTTTGGAACGGTATTTTGCAGTTTCTAAAAAAGTTAAACATACATCTACCCAATGACTCAATAATTCCATTTCTAGGTATTTACCCAAGAGAAATTAAAACATATATCCACAAAAGGACACACAAAAATGATCACAGCAGCTTTGTTCGTAATAGCCCCAAACTGAAAACAGTCTAGTTGTCCTTCATCATGTGAATGAATACACAAATCATTACGGTATATTCATAAAATGGAATGACACTCAGAAAAGAAAAACAATTTATATGCACATCAACCTAGATGAATCTCAAAAACATTATTGAGTGAAAGAAGCCAAACACAAAAGAATACTTACTATATGAACTCACTTATATGATATACCAAAACAGTTCATTTATGGTGAGAAAAATCAGGTTAATGTCTGTTGAAAGGAAGTAAAGTTTAACTGGAAAACAGCACAAGGGAACTTTTGGGACTGATGGGTATATTCTCTATCTTGATTAGGGTATTAGTTACATGAGCTTATACGTTTTCAAAATATATCAAACTATACAGTCAAAATATATGTATTTCATTGTATGTAAATCTTATTAAAGAATTTCCTATGGTATTTCTATTTTTTAGATGCCTTTAAAGACATGATCTACCAACAGTTTTGTTTTTAAAATGTCAAAATTTACAGTATCCTGTAAATTTCAACCCTATAACTCTTTAAATATAGGATGAAAGGTTTACATAAATGATGAAAATTTTTAAACCTCAACCTAATATGAGAGAAGGAACATAATTTTTCAATATTCTTGGATGTATGTAAGCAAAAAAGTTTACAAACATTTGTCACACATGCTATTTTGCAACCTAATTTTTTGATGTAGTCATATAGAAGATCAATTTTGTCTTGAAGGATCAAGAAAGACTTCATGAAGGAGTTTGCCCAAATCCACACTTGAAAGCTGGCAATCAATAGGTAAAGATGGAATGGGAACAAGGTGGACTGTCAACCATATTCCAACCAAGGTACTAAGGCAGGAAAGTTTAGGTTTCATTTGACAGTTATCAGATAAGTCTAATATGGCTAACTTTTAGAGTCTCTGAAGTAATAAAATGAGATAAAGTGGTCTGTGGCCAGATTGCAAGTATCTTTGAATGATATACTATGAAGTTTGTAATTTATTCTAGGCAAAGGGAAGATACCAAAGGTTTTGCAGTTAAATGCCATGTTCAAACCTGTGTTTAGGACACGTTAGTATGCCAGGATGGCAGAGTGGAAAGAGAACTGGAATGAGATCAAAAGACCCAGGTTGAATGTCTAGCTTTGTCACAGGCTATGTAACTTTAGAAAGTTCCTATAACCTTCATTTTCTTCATTCAAAAATTGGAAGATTGAGTTAGATAATCTCTAAAATCCTTCGAAATATTCAGTGAACGTATGAGATGGGATTTGCAGCAATGAGAACAGGAAGAATGCTCCTGCAATAAATTAGAGAGAGGTAATAAAAGCCAGAACCTGGAAATGGTCAAAGGCAATGAAAGGGGGGTTTGAATATGAGAATAATTCAGTGCAGGCATGGGGGAGAGAAAAGAGCCATAGGTGCTTATGAACTCCTGAATCTAAGGGGCTGCCTCTTTCTGTGGGCTCCCTAGTCTGGACTCGACTGCTACTCGCATGTATTGTGCTAAAAGCTATATAAACATGTCTTCTGATAAGTGATAACTCAGTCTGGAGATTATATTTAGAAATAATTAATAACAATTTAATTTTTTAAATTATTTGATCTTGTTTAAATGTGACTTTTTAAAAAAAAATACCTTTTAAAACAGGAAGCTGACGATAAGCTGCAAGTTTTGGCTGAAATATATTTTCCATTAGAACTCGTTCCATAAAAAATAAGTCCTGGAGAAACTTTTCAGATTTCAATATCGCCTCTGAGTGGTCTTCTTCATCGTCATGAATTCTAGCTAGAATTACGTTTTCTATGTCCATTAGAGAACTAGCTTCACTATCTGTAAAATACAAATGTGATGCAATGATAAAATAATCCAAATAATATTAGATGATTCATGCATTCTAAACATTTTAAAAATGACATTTTGTCATTACTATTTGTTTTCCTCCAGTATTCAACAACTTCAATAGACATTTATTGAATATCTTTTATGTACCAAGCACATGCAAAATATATACATATATTATCTCATTTTGGAATTCTTAACCACTCAAAAGTGTACTGGTTTTCAGAAGATAGGAAATGATAACCTCATGAGGTTACTTGTATCTCTACATTTTTATTCAAATTGAAATAAGATTATTATTAGTCTTCAGATAAAGTTCTGATTTTATTATTGCTTTATAGGAATAGTATACTACTGTGTTAATTTTTTATTGATGTTATAACAAATTACCAAAAACTTAGTGAATTAAAACCATGCAGGGCTGGCCCCATGGCTTAGCGGTTAAGTGCGCGCGCTCTGCTACTGGCGGCCTGGGTTTGGATCCTGGGTGCGCACCGATGCACCGCTTCTCCGGCTGTGCTGAGGCCCTGTCCCACATACAGCAACTAGAAGGATGTGCAACTATGACGTACAACTATCTACTGGGGCTTTGGGGAAAAAAAAAAGGAGGAGGATTGGCAATAGATGTTAGCTCAGAGCTGGTCTTCCTCAGCGAAAAGAGGAGGATTAGCACAGATGTTAGCTCAGGGCTGATCTTCCTCACACACACACAAAGAAAACCATGCAAATTTATTATCTTAGAGTTCTGCAGGTCAGAGCCCTGACTCAGGTCTCATTGGGCTAAAACCAAGAAGTTAATAAAGTTTTCTTCCTTTTTGGAGGTTCTAGAGGAGAATTCATTTCCTTGTATTTCCTGGTTTCTAGAGGCCACCCACAGCCCTTCCTCCATCTTCAAAGACAGCAACATTGCATCTCTCTGACCTTCTTCTGTCATTACATCTCTCTTTGACCACAGCTGGGAAGGTCCTCCACTTTTAAGTACCCATGTGATTAGATTGGGCCCACTCAGATAATTCAAGATAATCTCCTCCTTTGAATATCCTTAACATAATCACATCTGGAAAGTCTCTTTTGCCATGTAAGGTAAAATATCCATAGGTTCTATATGTGTACATATTTTGGGAACTATTATTCTGCCTACTACACTACTTAGTAAACTCTTACTTTAAAAACCAAATGAAGGGGAGTCCTGCTTCCATGAAGATGGCATAGACACACTTTTCACTATTTCTCCTGCTAAATATAACTAAAACCTTGGACATTATATATAAATAAAACAAACATAGGAAGCCTTTAAAAGTCTTTGGGAGAAGAAGGTAGAGCAACTAGAGTCCTCAGGGCCCAAGGAATGACACAATGGTGAGTTCTCTGGGTTTTCTTATTGTCACATATATTCCAGACGTGGAGCTGAAGAAGCCAGCAACCTGGAAACACAAATGAGTGCAGACCAAAAAAAACCAATGGAAGCCTCCTTTCTCCAGCCAAAGGACTAGGAAAAGGACAGCCTGGCAAGAAAGAAAACTTTTAGATTATAACTACTCTACTCCAGACAAAAACCACAGAAAAAATACTCACATCACAAAGGCCAAGTGGGAAGCCTAGACTTCCACCTTTGCCAGGCTGTAATAAGGCATACCAATCTTCCAGCCCTGCAGTAGGTGTGGAGTCAGAGAAGGCTTTGTAGGGAGCCAGGACTTTTATCCCTACCAAACATAATGACTATGCTGCTCTTCCCGCAGTATCAGTGGTGATCAGTTGGGGAACATGGAATTCCACACCCACCTGGCTGTATCAAGGTGTCCCTCCTTATCCCCACTAAAATAATCAGAGTTGGACTGATAAAGAGTAAGAACTTACATCACTGCTCAACAGTAAAGGGGCCAACTCCCACTCCATGGGGTCAAGGGAAGCCTCTTGTGGAGTGGTAATGAGGAATTCCTATCCCTCCCAGCCATGGAAATATAAACGGAAGCCAGAGCTCCCTACCTGCCCTTGTCCAGCAGTAACCCTCCCTCAATGTCATTGGAGGCAAAGTAGAGAACACGGACTTCTACTCCAACTTTCCACTTTCCTCTGCCAGAATAGTGTCAAACAAAGCCTACCAAAAAGGAAGACTTAAAGAAGATCCAGACTTTCATAACATAATACCCAAAATTTCCAGGTTTCAATTAAAGGTCATTCATCATACCAAGAACCAAGAAAATCTCGACTTGAATGGAACAACAACAAAAAAAGACAATCAATAGACACCAATACTGAGATGACAGAGATGTTTGAATTATCTGACAGTTTAAAGCAGCCATCATAAAAATGTTTCAACAAGTATTTATGAAAGCACTTGAAACAAATGAAATAATAGAAAGTATCATCAAAGAAATAAAAAGTCTTAGTAAATCAATAGAAGAACAAAATAGAAATTTTAGAACTAAAAAGTATAATAACCAAAATTATAAAATTCAACAGATGGGCTCAACAGCAGAATGGAAGGAACAGAGGAAAGAATCCGTGAACTTGAAAAGAAAATAGAAATTACCAAATCTGAAAAATAGAAAGAAAATGGTCCAGGAAAAAATGAACAGAGCCTCAGAGAACTGTGGGACTATAACAAAAGTACTAATATTCATGTCATTGGCATCCCAGTATTTGAAAAATAATAGCTGAAATTTCCAAAATTTGGCAAAGAAGAATAACATACAGATCCAAGAAACTGAATGAATTACAAAGAGAATAACCCCAAAGAAATCCACACCAAGACACAACATACTCAAACTTCTAAAAACTGAAGACAAAGTAAAAAATGTAGAAAGCAGTGAGACATACCATATATGTAGGAGGAAACAAGTTGAATAACAGCAGATTTCTCATCATAAACTGTGGAGGCCAGATGAAAGTGGCACACGTTTCTGAGTGCTGAAAGAAAAGAACTTTCAACCCAGAATATTATGCCCACTGAAAATATTCTATAGGAATAAAGGAGAAATTAAGGTATTCTCAGATGAAGGAATACTGAGAGAGTTTGTTGCCAGCAGATCTTCCCTAAGAATGGCTAAAGAAAGTTTTATAAACAGAAAGGAAATGACAAAAGAAAGAATTTTGGAACCTACAGAAAGGAAAACAAAACAATGGATAATATAATACAATAATAATATATTGTGTAATATATTATGTAATAATAATATAAACATAATAATTTCTTAATTATGTTTGATGGTTGACAGAAACGTTATAACACTGTCTGATTTAGTTCTAAATGTATAAATATTCCCTTGAAATATTTAGAGAAAATATTTAAGGCAAACATTATAGACAGGGGAAAGTAAAGGACACAAAGGAAGGCAAGATTTTTACACTTAACTTGAACTGGTAAAATGTCAAACCCAGTGGATTGCAATAGATTACGTACGTATAATGCAATATGTATAACAATCACTAAAAAAGCTACATGAAGAGATAAACTCAAAAAACACTATAAATTAAAATGGAGTTGTAAAAAAAATTGTTTGAGTTACCAGCAAGAAAGCAGGAAAAAAATAAAAGAGAAACAAAACCAGAGAGAACAAACAGAAAATGAATAATGGCAGACTTAAACTCTAATATATTAATAATTTCATTAAATATAAATGGTCTAAATATACCAATTTAAAGACAGAGATTGGCAGAATTGGATTTAAAAAATGACCCAAATATGTGATGTCTACAAGAAACTTTTTTGAAATATACAATATAGGTAGGTTTAAAGTAAAAGGATGGAAAAAGATATATTAGGCAACCATTAATCAAAGGTAGAGAAGCTACTAAACCAAAATCATATAAAGCAGAGTTTAGTGTAAAGAAAATTACCAAGGCCATACAGCAGCTTTATGTAATGATAGCACCAAGAAGACATAGAAATCCTAAATGTTTATGCAGAAAAAAACAAGTCTGTAAAATATGTAAAGCAAAAACTGAGAGAACTGAAAGGAGAAATAGACAAATCCAAAATCTGATATAACAACTAGATAGAAAACCAGCAAGGATATAGAGGAACTCAACAACACAACCAGCCAAAAAGATCTAATTGGCATTTATAAAACACTTCATCTAATGACAGCAGAATAGTTATTCTTTTCAAGTGCCCTTGGAACATATACCATGATAGACCATATCCTGGGCCATAAAACAAACCTTAATATATTTAAAAGAAGAGAAATCAGGACGTTTTCCAACCACAATGGAATCAAACTAGAAATCAATGATAGAAAGATAATAGGAAAATCTCCAAATACTTAGAATCTAAAAAATACCTCTAAATAATCTATGGATCAAAGTGGAAGTTTCAAGGAAAAATTTTGAAAATACTTAATTTAATGAAAATAAAACACAGCATTTTAACATTTGTGAGACACAGCTAAAGCAGTGCTGAGTGGCAAATTTATAGCACTAAAATGTATACATTTGAAAAGAGGAAAAGTCTCAAATCAATAATCCAAGTTCCCACCTCAAGAACTTAAAAAAGAAAAGCAAAACAAACAAAAAGCTATCAGAAGGAAGGAAACAGAAAATAAAGGACAGAAATCAATGCAACTGGAAACAGAAAACTAGAGAAAAACAGTGAAACAGATATCTGGTTCATTGACAAGATCAATAAAATTGACAAACCTCCAGCAAAACAGACAAAGAAAAAAGAGAGAGAAGACACAAATTACCAAATTCAGGAATGAAACAGGAGCAACTACAGACCATGCAGACATCAAAAGGATAATAGAGGAATAATACAAACAACTCTACATACATAAACTTGACAACTTAAATAATGAACCAATTACTCAAAAAACACTAACTACTACCACTCATCCAATATAATTTGAAATTTAAGGAAACTGAATTTTTAATTGTAAAAACTCCCAAAAAAGAAATCTCCAGGCACAGATGGTTTCACTGGAGAATTCTACCAGACATTTAAAGAAGAATTAACACCAGTTCTACACAATCTCTTACAGAAAACATAAGCA